TGTAGCACACATACACACCTTCAATAATGTTTGAGAATCTGCAAGTTTTTTTGGATTTTCAGGCATACTTCAGATTAGCATGTTCGATTCTCGTAGGCAACACAAATTTTTTCACGGAGAAGAAAATGACATTTTTGAACTACAAAAGATGTTTTCGACTAAGAAGCTTACTTCCTACCTCTTCCATAGTTTCTTCCGCGGAAAAAACCGTTTTAGCGCCGTCCAGAACGACGTCAAAAACGTGCATGAGCACGGTAGTTTGAAAATTCGTGACTAAGGCCAGGAAAAGACTGAGAGGCTGCAAGGCACAGGTTCTGCAGTATAGTGCCCAGACTATCCATAGAAAAATTTTCAGCTTTTGAGAAGCAGCAAGTCGAAAAAGTTTAGATGCGACTCTCGCAAATTTAGATGCGCTCTTAAAAAGCAAAAACTGGGATTTTTGAGCTTAAAATCTTGTAACTTACCAGAAAAGTTATAAAACAGCCTGCAATTCTTACGAGAGAAAGTAGGAGGATGGCCTCATATTATAGCAGAATTGCAGCCAACAAGCTTCAATAGCTCCGAAGAAATTTAGATGCGACCCAGATACGACCCCCTTTCCTGATTTTTTGCTACCATACATAAAATTATAAGAAAATCCACAGTTGACAAGATAACACCAAATTTTGCACTGATGTAGCGGAGCATCTCCGAAGTACAGATAAATCATATGGGCTCGTGAAAAACATTACAAAAAGATTTCGAAATTTATGATGGTCACAGCTGGTAAAGATATTCGCTTTCGTCGAGTGTGTGAAACTTCAGGAGGCTTCAGAAGCAAGATTCCTAGGGCAATCGGTACATTTGGCATTTTTATCAAATCATACATCCTTCAAAAGTGTTTTGAGCTCTAGTAAATGTTTTTTTTTGAGAATTTCTACAGATTTTTTATCTTTTCATTCTGATTCCCACTTTTTTATATATTTATTGTAAAGAACACAACTAATTATCTGCTTTTTGACTCCCTTCTAAGCTTAGGGTATTTTAGCCTAACTACCTTCTCTTACGACCCCCCCACCTTAGGTACCCTCTTTACGACCCCCCGTTGCGACAGTCGTATCACAAGCTTGAAACTGCTAACAAACCCCTACAGCAATCTTATCGTAACTTCACCATATGGCACTACCTTGCGAAATAAATGCGATATTCGTGATCAGCGTGCGTATAACTCCTCTAGAGGAAGTTCTAGCTTAGTCCGCTTCATTTTTTGGGTCAACTAATGCGGAGTACAATACCACCCGTAATTTGTGAAAAAAATGGCGGCGGCACTTAACTCACGCGGCGCCGCCGCAGTTAGGTGACAAACGCCGCGTCGCGCGACAAAAGTCGGCGGAAAAGCGGCATTTGCCGCCTAACTTTGCCGCGCAACGCCTAACTTTTCTATAAAAAAGACCTTATTTTGATCCAAAATTTATGAATTCTATATATAAGAGTACCATTCAACTCAGCTCGGCGAGGCGCGTCTTCAGGTATACAGATGTGCCTAGTTGTGGGATATAGGTTTTTTTTCTTGGAATTTTAGTGTAAATGGATCATTCAGTGTGCTGATTCCAGAGGCCACCTACACATTCTGTTGACACTGCAAAAATAGGGTGGGTATAATTTAAGAGCTCACTCTGCACGGATATGTGTAAAACTGGGCTTTTCTCGGCGAAGTATGACGGGTCCCAAAAGCAGAAAGACAAAGGGGAATGGCTGGAAATCGCATGCGAAGCACATATCGTGGAATGCCGCGCGTGCTGTGCAATGTACAATACCACTCACAGAACGGGAACTTCGCGAAATTCCAGAAATTTCGCAATTCCGGAATATCGCAAATTATGCAGCGCCATAACTTCCTTCGAGATGAATATGTTCTAAATCCGAAAGCAGCATTGTGTTCAGCTCGTCAGGGCGAATCTTTCGGCATACTTAATGTCATCTATATCTCGTTTCCAGTTTTCTCAAATTTTTCTGAGGAGGTCCCTTCGCAAGTATGAAACGCAGCGCCTATCCAACATAAAAGATTCCCGTAAGTACCATTCGATAGTGCTCTTCTTGTTCATTATAGTGCGCTAGAAAGCTGCCGCAGACTTCTTTTCAAAAGAGAAAGAAGCGTTGGTAGATTTTGGAAAAATCACTCGTTTCCAGATTCTACTCGCCGTAACTTTCTTAGAGTGGAAATTTTCTGAATCCGAAAAAAGCGTTGTGCTCATCTCATCAAGGCGAATTTTTCTGTGTGCAGAACGTCCTTGATATCTCGATTTCAGTATTTTTGAAACTTTCTGCGGGCGTCTCTTCGCAATGCTGTAATGCAGCGCGTATTGCCCCCAGTAGAATCAGAAAGAAATTTTCGATAGTACTTCTTCTGTAAATTATGGGGCGCTAAGAATTAGCCGCATACTTCTTTCCAAAGGAGATAGAAGGGCTGGTGAATTCTGGAAAAATCTTGTCGTCCCATATTCCACTCGCCATGACCCTAGAATACGAAGCTATCTTGCTAAGCAGATGTGATTTTCGTAATCAGCAGGTCGGATAACCCTTATGAGCAAGTTTTCCGAGATGTTCGGGTTATTTATTTTTTCCCGTTTCACGCTCTGAAGCTTACCGATGGAATTTGGTCAAAATATTGATCTTAAATTATAAGGAAACTTCGCTTACAGATGTTTTCGAACACACTCTTTACGAAAATCAAGGTCTTTGAGGATTACAGGGTCTTTTTGGTGAGATACGGTGAGGTGACTGTAACTGAATCACAAAAGTGCGTAACTTTGCCTGCACTTCTCGCGTATGTCAAAAAACTTACTTGCTTGCTTGTTGTACAAGCCAAAGTTAGTAGGGACTGTGCCATCGAATGGTGCATGCCTCAGACTCCACTCTACAAAAATCGCCGAGTTACGAGCTTAAAGGATATTCGTTGACGACTGCCCTGTTTCGTGCATTTACACCACCGCGGGCGTGCCTTTTTGAAGTCTTTCCAGCTTTACAGTATGCTACAGCGCGCAGGGACTTCGCAGCTCGCAGCGCCCCTGTCCTTTAACCTCTTCTGCATTTCTCATCTTTTTTTCCTTTTTAATCTTCATTTCAGGCAGCTGCTCATCAGTCAGTCGTTCTCCTCTTCTTTTTTGAAGTTCTCTCGGTCGAATACCCTACAAATTCTGCTTTAATGGGTACTGAAAGAGCAGGAAAAAAGTTTTGGCACAGTTATTGAACTCATTCTCCTTCTTACTATCATAAAAACATTTTTAGAATCGTAAACTATCGTCCGCATAATTAGGTGAAAGCAGTGTATGTGTTGATGATTTATGCATCATCAACCTCAGCAATTCTATAATCCTTATAGCTTACGGGTATTCCCCATAGGCTATATTCACCAATCGCTTATATTTAAGTGCCGTATCACTCAGCAGTGAGTGGCACCTATCTTCCAGGGGCCGCCAAGCCGCGGCATCCCCTTTCTTGTGTATATTTCTTGGACAGTCTGATTGTGCACGGGTCAGCTCCGCCTTCCTACCTATATAAGGAGGCCCCGAATGTATTATTGGTTGCTCCCCCGGTCCAACACCGGGTTCGTCTGTGGATAAATTATTATCGACACCACTATCGCCTACGACACTTGGTTCCCACCAAATTGGTGCATCGACCAGTGAAGCCACCTCGTATTCTATCTGCAACCGGAGGAATCGAGGCCAGAAGACCCGCGTGGCAGGAAGACAACCAACCGACGATCTGATTCCTGTGTATCCTTTTCGTAAGAGATCCAGGGAGGTGTAAGAAAATCGGAAGGCTACCACTGACTATCTGAAAATCTTTGTGTATCCTTTTCGTAAGAGATCCAAAGAGGTGTAAGAGAAATCAGTAGGAATACCACTGGCCATCTGAAAATTTCTGTGTATCCTTTTCGTAAGTGATCCAGAAAGGTGTAAGAGAAATCAGTAGGTAGCACATTATCACATTAAAAGTGAAACGTTCTGTGTATCCTTTCCGTAAGTGATCCAGAGAGCGGAACAAATTTTGTGAGTGCAGCACATAACCACATAAGACCTTGAAACTTTCTGTGAATCCTTTTCGTAAGTGATCCAGAGAGCGGAACAAAATTTTGTGGGTGCAAATTTCCAATCAATCTCATAGATCTCTCGCGAATCCTATCCAAGGACCGGAGATATACATTGAGATTTGAAAGGAAGGTAACTTGAGTCACAAGAGCTCATTTT